CCCAATCCCGATGGCAAACACCGGGGGGGGCGGCTTGTTTTACAACGTCGTTGCCAAGCGACGAAAACCCAACCCCGATGGCAAACGCGGGGGGGGAATGGGGTCAGGGGGTGGCTTAAACGGCGATTTCTTTGGCTAATGCATGAAGGCAAAACGTTCTGTGTGGAGAACGAATTGCCTGGAGAGCATGGACGAAAGAGTGCCTATCAGCGTTGTCAAGGACAGCTACACCCGCCCCGTGGTATAGGATGGTGCATCGAACATGGAGTGAGACGATCATCGCTTTAGATGTTTGCAGCGCGGGCAAAAGGGTGGTGTGAGAACCAAAAATGAAGGAGAGTTCAATTGACAACCATGAGTTTGTTCTTCGGAAGTGTGCGGCAGCCGTCTTGTGAGCTCCGGGATGTTGGCGATATCTACGTGTGCGACACTTCGTCTCGAGAGGTATGATTACTAAGGCGGCAACATACATACGAGCCCCCCGCCCTCTCTCGCAACCGGCCAGTTGACGGTGCACTTCCATTCCCAAGGTACCGTCTGCTGAAGCAGAATCGCCTACGCTATGCGGTAGGTTACGAATGAAACTAACTCCATCGAGTACGCTTGTGTGATGATGATGCTCAGGCGGGCCCTGGAGCACCTCATCGGCCCCGAGCGCGCGAGCAATAGCCTCCAGGAGGTGGAGCTGGCCGTACAGGCGGACCTTCGGGAACAGATGCCCCCCTCTTCCCCGCCACCTCCTTCCTCTTCCCCCCCTGCGGCTACCGCTGTTACGGGGGTCGCCGCCACCGCCCCTCCCCTGTCCAAGAACGAGACAAACAATACCACTTTCAACACCAGGAGTTCTGCCACCGTGGGTGACGTAACGGGGGGAGAGTCCGCTTCGAAGGCAGCAGGACCGGTACCAGCAGCAGCAGCAGCAGCAGCAGCAGCAGCAGCAGCAGCTCCCGCGAGTGCGGGGCGGGGTGGGGACTACCGATTGCCCGATGGCCGTTTAGGTCGCTTGCTGGGGAACGAGCAGTTGGCGCACGAGATACTCGTCAATCCAGACTTCCAGGTGCGTGAGGGGGGGGTAAGCAAGTGG